AAGCTTTAGAGCTAACTCCTTCTTTACTGCCTCTCTTTTTTGCTCGGTCAGTGTCATAACTTGCTGTCAGTGATTCTCCTCCTTCACTTCGTTTCAATTTGCTTCGCTCTCAGAGCAGGCAGCCGAAACATGCCCAGGCACTTCTTAGGTGCAGGTATGCTTCAACTTAAAAAAAACAAAACAAACACTGTTGTTACAACTATTCCACATTCCCATTGGAGGAGAGTCTAAGAGAAAGCGATGCTGAAATTTAGAAGAGAGAAAATTTAAACATGGTGTCATACAGTGGTGCAGTGGGTCGCCGTGTCAGGTTGGCGTGTTCGTGTTCTCACTGGACTTGCTCTGCTGTTGGGCAGAGGTTTCCTCACCTTGTTGTCCTTGTTGGTGAAACCTTGACCTGGATGGCTGAGAGCCTTCAGACAGACGAGGTCTTTCCTCCTGTTCCTTCAGGGGGAGCAGATTAGCTGACAGGTTAGGTGGATACTCAAGGATGACCTCAGGTGGCTGTGACTGAATGTTTGTCTGTGTCTGAATGATGACCTTGCTTCTTAGCATATGACATCCTTGAAGATCTCTTTTACACTCACACATCCTGTTGGAGTAATTGGGAGACATTGACAATTAGAAACAAAAATTAGTTTTATGAGAAATAAAGTCTTAAAGTTACAAGAGAAAAATATAATTTGTAACTTTTTCTCTCTATTTTTATTTTATTCTCTCACACAGGCCCTTATAGTTCATACGACTTTGTACTTGTCATTTTAGATGTTTTTAATCATCAATGTGGCCACAATAGTCCAGTAGTCACAGTACATTTAATTTTTTTTCTTTTCATTTTTTAAATTGTATTCATGCAAATTTAGGAGAAAACCAAACATATACTTAACACATAACATAAGTTATACAATAATAACAACTGGTTTAATACTGTTCTTAAACTGGTGCCTGTACACAATCGTTCTCCCCATTTACAACAGGACTTCTGTGACTTGTCACCACATATGCTATAGCATTTCATAGCATTTCCTGTGACACAATTACATCACTGCAAGTGCTTATTCAGCACAGAAAAAAATATTTAAAAAGTTAAAAAAAAAAAGATCCAGAAGAGGTTAGAAAAAACAGAGACAGAGAGAGAAAGCAGTTGAGAAGAGAGATACTAGTCTGGGAGGGAAGAAAAAGTTTATTTTGTAAATAATTAACCGTATCTGTAATATTCCCAGACTGACGTCATCTTAACATCAGTTTAACGACGTCTTAATTGAAACAGCACTGAATGTGGTCACGGGCAGAACTTTTTCTGACATCATTGTTGTTGACCTCATTTGGCATTTAATTGGATAGAGACAGTAGAGAGATGAAAGTAACAGGAAAGGTGAGCAGCCAATCGCTGTCCACCCTGACTACCACTGCTTGAGCCACAGTCCTAGACTGTTGTTTGTCCTTGTTTACCACCATGGACACTGCTTTTGTCCCTGCCTGGCCCCGGCTCCTTTCTGGAATGTTGTCCCCGTTTCTCCATAATCTCTTAACATTGATACTTTTGTTGTCAGTTTTTGACTTTGGCTTCAAACCTGGACACAAGGGTTGACCCAGTTTGCCGTTGCATCTCTCTGTTGGCAACTAGACGAGTTGCTAGAATCAAGTCATTCTCCACTGCAGCCCCTTTTTAACAGGACACACACACACAGGGAGAGAGAAGAACACACACATGCCAGTAAATTGGGTTGGTGTAGAATTAACTTGTTTTCACAGTCTGCCAGCTGGTTCCAGGAATGTTTTCTCACATCAAGGTTTAGAAAACAATTAGTGTCCACTGTTTTTGGGGGGGTTTTTTTAACCCACAGCTGTTTTTCAATGTTTTTATTCAGAAAATATTTATGAAATGTTAAGGAGAGAAAAATAGTTTTAAGGCCAATTATGTTGAGAGTTGGATCACAGAAAATATTTTTGAAATGTAGAGAAAAATAGTTTAAAGGCCAATTATGTTGAGAGTTGGATCATTTCCACAGCACACCTCACGGCACACTAATGTGTCGCAGCCCAGTGGTTTGGAATCACTGCCTTGTAAAGCACTGATTTGTCCAGATGACTTTTCTTCATCTTTTGGAGGTGGATGAGTTCAGAGGTAAAGTTTCCTTTAGTTTCATCATCGTGTGGATTCTGCACAAATTCAGGGGGGAAAACATGGATTTATTTTGGGCCCTGTCTTCTTGGAAATACTCGTTTAAGGGCACTTGTCATTTCACAAACATTCATTTTTCACTAAACTGTTACAGAAAAATCCATTATTTATATAATGTACCAGTACACACAGCGTGTTTACATTCAGCTATGATAACAGATTTGACCACTTTCCCCGTCTTCAGTTCATGGGAATTACAGTGAATCTTTTTTATTTACCTAAGACCATCTGACTCACTGCGTTGTCCCTCTGCAGGCTGCAGCAGAGAATCTCTCTGTGGACAGTTCTCCACACATGTCCAACTCAACCATGAGACGTCTGGGCTCAAACTCAGAGGAGCGATCTCGCCTCACTGCTGCCCTCTCCTGTCTGAAGAGTGCTGATGAAACAGGTAAGTGCAATGGTTTGAAATCAGTTGAAATTGAAATAAATCAATCATCATCATCATCTGTCTTGTCAACATCTACCATCTACATCAACATCTACAGCAGAAAGTTGTTTCAGAAATTATTTTCTGTGTATGTTTCTGTGTGTGTTCCGAAATGTTACAAGTACAACCCCATAACATTTAATGGTCAGAGTTTTGTTAATAAACATCACAAGTGTTTTATTATTAAATCAGTAGAAATAAAGGTCATCTTTCAGTCGCAAAGATGGGGGTTTGATTCCAGCTCAGTGCCATTGTGTTCCACTGCCAGACATGAATGGGAAATGCTGTCAGGAAAAGCAGTGCTTGGTCACATGTGCAGAGTGGTGACCTCTTGAAAAGGTTGCAGCTAAAAGTAATTGTCCTGCAGATATACAAGTACTATCCTGAGTCACGTTTATTTTTACAGAAACAAAACATGACATGTTGTCATCTGTTCCTGTAAAACAAAAATGGGAAAACCCTGAATTAGAATGAAAGGCTGCAGCTGCAGCTGCAGCATGTGTCATGACCTACATCAATGGTTTACTGCAAGTTCTAATTTGCCTTCAACGTGCGTTTTTCTTTCCTCTTTGTCACCAGGTCATTTGAAGCCAAACTCAGACAACAACTACACTTGCGACTCTCCGGGTCAAGACGGCGACGTCTTCTCCTCCACCAGCTCTCCCCCCCTGCTGCCCACGGGTCCCCGCGGACCCTCCATCTCTATTTCAGTGGCACCTTGCTCACACAACCACAGACTGTACGTGTCACCAGACGACACCCCTGACGTCTTCACCCAGGAGTCCAACTCCCCTCCGTCTACTCAGACGTCAAAGACACGCAGCAACAGGACCTCGCATTCTTCGCCTCCACCTCCACGAAAACTGCTGCAGCTCTTCCCCAACCTTACAATGACGAGGAGCAAGAGCCATGAGTCACAACTCGCCAACCGCATTGAGGAGCCAACCTCAAACAAGTGGGTTTTCAAATGGAAACTCCAGCTGTTTGTTTGCTCATCGCAGTATCAGGGAACCTTTAAAGTTTATAGATCAAATTACACAGAAGCCCGGCGTAATTATTTACATAGGTGTGAAAAATGTCTTCGAGTGAGTGATGGAGAAACCTCTCAGTTTCAATAGCCCTGGTTCTTGGATCCACCTGGTACTGTCACCAGAAAAAAGATAATTCAGTCTGACAAAGACCAATGAGAATAGCTCTTTTGTGCTGGTTTAAATACAAAGTCTGTTTTGAGTGGAGTTTTGACATGGTAATCTATTACCTGACAGGGAAAATGTCACCAGTTTTCTAGTTCATTCATCAACCTTTTCTGTTTGTAGTTTGATGCTGTTTTTTCTCCCACATTCCAAAAACCTAAGCAGTTTTCTAGTTCATTCATCAATTTTTTTCTGTTTTTAGTCTTTTTTCTCCCACATTCCAAAAACCTAATGTGAGACTTTTTTCTTCTTCTGTCTGTGCAGAACATGTAAGAGGAACAAAGTTCTGGCTGCCCTTCAGATCAACGGTGGTGCACTGAGTCCTGAAGACCCAGCATTGCGATCGCCACTGCTGTCCGTAAGAACACCAGGCCCTGTCCCAGCTTCAGCTCCATACAACACGTCTGTCATCCCCAGCATAGAGAGTGAGTCACAGCCACAGGGGGTCTGTGGATCTAACATGATCAAACTGTGGACTAAACTTTGTGTCCCCCCTCCCTTTTACCCATTACACAGATATGACCATGCACAGAAATTCTCCACAGACGCTGAGAAGAGACATCGGCCTGGCCATAACACACAGGTCAGTTAACATGACCATATCTACAGACCTGTGTCCATCAGTTTTTTTTCCTATCAAGAACCAAAACATCTTGAGAAAAAAATTATTTTGCTTAAGTCTGTTCCATAGTATAGTGGTTAGCACGCTTGCCTAAGAAGCAGAGAGTCCTGGGTATGATTCCTAGAGTAACCACATGCTTGGTGTCTGCGAGAGGCATCCTTTTGTTAACACAAGAATTTCCCAAATATGGGATCAATAAAGTTCAAAATTTAAAAAAAATGTTTTTAAAGGAATGAAGTCTCTGACCCAAGTACCTAAAAAGCTTTAGTTACAGTCAGAGCATTGCTACTGTCTGACCATTTAGGGCAGAGACATTTAAAATTTTGAAAATAATCTTTTTCTGGGAGTGTTTCTTGGGGACCGCACCCCCAGGTTTGACCACAGAAGTAATAATTCGACTTCCTCGGTTTTTACAGTAGAACATTTTTTTCGTCCATCGTTTGTGTGATAGGCCGTCGATAAACTCACACAAACATTAGCTGAGTGTTCCTTCCTAAAACAAACACCGCCACAAACAATGTTGGAATGTTCCACTATCACTGCTGAGGTTTCCTGTGGTCTCCCTATGATAGCTGAGCAGGAACACACTGTATGCCTGGCTTCAAGCATGTGAACCGCTGCACTCTCACAGCAGAACCCAGGAATCTGAAGAATGCAGAGAGCTCACTGTCCAAACCACTGTTAGTTTTACCATTCAGTCAGTGTTTTGGTGTTAATCCACAGCTGAAGAACAAAAGTGCATTCTACTGTCTCCAGTTTTTTTAGTGGCCTGTCTTATTTTAAAATCCCAGATTATTCCCCAGCTACAGTACGTCTTACATTTTATAACCACAACATTTGATCCCATGTCTGCACTGGATGATCCCTGTTTGAAACACAGTATCTGTCACATGTGTCCTCCAAACTCTTCTAATCATTGCAACCCACATGAAGGTCTTTTGAGGCTTTTTAACAACAAGGAAGAACTGTGTGTGATGTTGAGGGAAATCATGCAAAAAGAAAAAAACTAAACAGGATGGAACAGCAGTGATATCCTGTGACTAAACACCTCAAATATCCTGACAACAGCAGCCAAAGTCATGGTCATTGGAGCAAAACACAAACAAGGAAAGTTGAAGGATTGATAATAGTCTGTATTTAGACTTAGATGGAATTTGATTTTTTTTTTTATCCTTGCCTATTTTACCTCTGTTTTGATACAACTCCCCACATTGGCCTCATAGGTTTTGGTGATTTGAACAGAAAGAATTAATCTAAAAAAAAAAAATAGGTAAATCCATTTTCCTTTTCTCTCTTTGTAGGTTTTCTACCAAGTCGTGGCTCTCGCAGACGTGTCAGGTGTGTCACAGGAGCATGATGTTTGGTGTAAAGTGCAAGCACTGCAAGTAAGGGAGAACAAATTAAAACTTTTACTACTCCCTCACATACACAAACACACACTGTGTCTGTTTACTGATGCAGGTTGTGTTCTGCCTAGTCATCATGTCTTGTGTTCACAGGTTAAAGTGTCACAACAAATGCACCAAAGACGCTCCGTCCTGTAGGATATCATTTCTCACATGTAAGCAGTGCGGTCCCTGGTGGGAGTTACAATTTATCAATTTGATTTATCCTTGGTTGGATACTGCCATTGAATATTCTAACACATTTTGTTTAGATGTTGCATCAGTCAGAGTTCTCTGACAGTGACACTATATTTTACTATAATTTCCCATTAACTTCAACTTAAATTTGACCTTTTCAGTGCCAAGAATCTATTAACTTCAATTCATTAAATTTGACCTTTTCAGTGCCAAGAATGCGCAGAGCAGAATCAGTTCCATCAGATATCAATAATCGGATCGACCACACGGCAGAGATTCCACTACAGTACGGCACTTTACCGAAGGCAATCAACAAAAAGGTGAGGATTATTTGCTAATATTAATAAAGAAAAGACATGGAATTACAATTTGTGTGAGTGTGTGTTTGTTTTTATGCCTTAAGGAGCCTCCACCCAAGTTAAACCAGCTGGACTCCAGCAGTAACCCATCATCAGCCACCTCCTCCACCCCCTCCTCCCCTGCACATCTGCAGCAGAGTAACCCCCCGAGCATCAGTGCCACCCCACCTGCCAACCCTTCACCACGGGGCTGCACCAGTAATAGCTTCAACTTCCCAGGTCAGCAGACTTAGCCTATCATCATGTTTGTTACAACATTAAGTTGAGTTGGTCAAACTGAAGTGTACAAATACCTCAGTATTTGGTGCTAAGAGGAGATGCTGCTAACTGGCCGCACAAAAATGATAATGATAATTCCATGCACTTGTAAGCCCACAAATTAACTTAATTAAAATAAAATGTAATTTAATTAAATTAGTTTGGTTGGTCCACAGAGAAATTGTCTCAAACTGACCATTGTTGCAACAATGGTTGGGAGACAAATTAATGAAATATAATGTATTCTTTATGACAATCCGCCGTTTCTGATGCTCTGTTTACCTACAGATGTTTCGGCTTCCGCTTGTGTTGCTGTTCAACCACCAGAGGGCAGCAGTGACGCAGGGTAAGAGACCAGCTGCATCTCACACAAGCAGTAGAAAACAAAGAACACCAATCTAAAAATGAACGTTTAGGGGTTTTTTAGACAAATATGTTTAGGTCATAACCTTAATATGTTTTAAACACGTTTTATATTTTTTTTTATGTTGACCACCAGAAAGTGTCAAGGGAGTTAATAAAAAAAGTCTGTATTTAGCTTGTTTGTCCACCAGAGGGCAATTAAATCTTTCTTTTTGAGTAGTAGTAATTCATCTATACATTTCCCCAACATTTGAGCGAGTTTCTCAGTTTTATTATTAGACAACAAAACGCCCATCAGCCACAGTGGAAGTAGATAACAGAGTAATAGTTTGAATCAGTCATCTTTGTTGTTTTTGTTACAGTGCACCACAGGTGGCCACTGACACACAGCCTCCAGCCACACATCAAGGAGGGGTGAGTATCTATATATATCTATGGAATCTATCCATGTTTGCCATCCATCCATCCATCCATCCATCCATGTTCTTTTACTCACCCATCCACTTCATTCTATTACCAGGAAGCTGAAGAAGACTACCCAGCCGGGGAGGAGGAAGCAGCTGACCAGGGCAGCAGTAAAAATGATTATCCTACCGAGGAGTGTGCCGAAGACGGACTGGAGGACCTGCCCACTTCCATCAGTCGTCGCTGGAAGGGTCGTATCACTCGGGAAGCCAGCCAGACCAGTGTGTACCTGCAGGAGTGGGACATCCCGTATGAGCAGCTGCAGCTGGGAGAGCTCATTGGCAAAGTGAGGATGGAGATACAGTAGACTCACTGTGTGGTAGTACTTACCCTTCATCTCACCCCGTGACACATTTGCTCGTGCAGGGTCGCTGGGGGAAGGTGCACAAGGGTCGCTGGCACGGCCAGGTGGCCATCCGCCTGCTGGAAATTGATGGTAACAACCAGGAGCACCTGAAGCTGTTCAAGAAGGAGGTGATGAACTACAGACAGACCAGACATGAGAACGTGGTCCTGTTCATGGGTGCCTGCATGGCCCCGCCCCACCTGGCCATCATCACCAGGTGATTCTCAACTCCAAATCACTGCTGCTGTTGTTTTATGGTTTTTTACTATGTAAGAAATGGATGTAGCCATTGATGCAGTCGGTCACTAGGCACAAGTTTTTTACAAAAAAAAAAAACAAATAAGAAAAAGGGCAGAGGGAGCAAAAACAGACCGAGTATAAACAGTTATTTATTACATTTTTTTTTGTAATGTTAGTGTTTTGGATATTTGTGACATCCTGTTATAGTTACATTATTTTTTCATTTTTCATTTTATTTTGCAGTAGAAATAATAGTCATTCCACTGCTTGAGGAGACATGTCACATATTGATTTTGTAAATCAGAGCTGATTATGCTAAAAAAAATGTTTTTGTTTGTTTTACTTGCAGTTTCTGCAAAGGTTTGACTTTGTACTCTGTGGTGAGAGAGAGAGGTCACATGGTGGACCTCAATAAAACCAGGCAGATTGCACAAGAGATAGTAAAGGTGAGTAATGATTTTGTTTGTTTAAAACCTCTGGTGAATTTGTTTTTTCTACAATATTGTACAGTTCTGTGTGATGTAACAATTGTTGCAATATTTTTTACGCCGCTTTTGTAGCCTCTTCTGACCAGTATCTTTTATAACACACACCTGAACCTCCTTTTTAGAGACATTGTCAGCTGTGTATTCCTGAACATGGCTACATTGCCATGACCCCTAAGGGGAACAGCAACAACAATTAGACTTAGAGTGATATTCTATTTATTCTCAAATTCAAATCATTCTCTTTAAATTACAAACCCTCGTATTTCTCTGCCCCTCTTATTTGTATCATCTCGAAACAGAAAGACATCCGGCACTGTGCAAAAGTGTGGCTTTTGCAGTTAGCCAAGTTGTCGTTTGAATGTTATGCAAAGCAGTCTGGTCTAACTCAAGTCTTACTGTTGAAATGCGCTAATTACACACATTAGGTTAACCTTTTCTAGATGTACTACAGAAACTCGTGCAGGAATTTTTAAATTACCCCAGTCCCACTTCAAAACATGAATAAGTGGTGTCCAAAGTTCTTTCCCAAAGTGTACTATTTATAGCCCACCGGTATGATGAAATACAATATGAATTTTACAAGTCCAAGTTGCGATGACCATCCTGAGGAATGTAGATGGTAGAAACTTTTTAGACGCTTAAATTAACTGTGTTTTACCTCCAGAAGAACAGTCAGTATTTGTGCAATTAGTTGAAGAAAACGTAGTATTTGTGTGAGGCTTGATTGTAGTATCAGCGTGGAGCAGGCGGCTCACTGGAGATGCTTTCACCTTATTTGGCTGAAAAGTTTAAGAATGTAATAACCAAATAGGGCATAAAGGTAAAGCATTAAAAGCTGCTGATAAAGTCTCTCTCTTAAGCCTGACACAAGACTGCGTTCATCTCCAGGGTCGTCTCCTCTGAATGCTGCTGGTTCCAGACTTTGTGCTGATTGTAGTCCAGCTGTTGCATTTTTTCAGTGGTCTTTTGTCCTGCACACCGGGACTCTGCGATCTCGGGACACTCGCTACTCCAGACTTGGAGCTAATCGAAGTCAAGCTGCTGGACAGTTTTAATCCTTTATTGCATTGAACACCAGTGCTCTCTTGACCTTTGACACTGGGAGCTCCAGTCAAGGTGCTGCTGGTAGACTTGGATGTGGCACTCTGTAGACATCCACTGCTGTACACCCGAGACTGGGACCTGATTTCCAGCAGATGTTCCTGGATCTTACAGAGCTCCTCTGGTGTGAACCTCCACCGTTTCTCTGCTCTCTTGACGTGCTCCTGCTGCTCCTGCTGCTCCTGAAGCTGCTGGGAGGAGTTCCTCCTCCTAGAAACAGTAGTCGTAGGCAGACACGATGGTGGCAAAGAACCCGTCAACATGCCGTCTGGGAATTTTTTAGAGATTATCTTGAGACCTCCAGAGAGCATAAAGAGGTTTTCAAATCCTCGCTGACACATGATGGTGGCTGCATGGCTGGCCGTTCTCTCATCTTCGTCGTACAGAATGATCATCTTCCCTGGAACGTTCTTATATTCCCACATTTCTTTGATGTAGTTGTCCATGTGTCGCGACAACATGGCAATAGGATAACTGTTTGCACCAACGATGTGGCAGCGGTCATATTGCTCGCGGTCCCGTACGTCCAGGAGCAGGAAGGCGCAGTGACGGTAGGGCATATCAACTGGATCGGGAACAGACACTTCGTTCTTGGAGCTTGAATCTCCTCCGCCTGTATCTCCTCCACCTGTGACAACGTTAGGTTGTAATGACTTGGCAGAAATGCAGATCTCTGCACTGTCTCCTGCGTCCTGGCGACAGGACTGACTCTCCAAGATTGAATCAGGCACTGCCGACACACTGTCCTTCTCGGCCTGTGAGTCCAGGTCCATCTCAGCTTCAGTCCTTTCTGACACGGCGGCGGCGTCCAGTAGCATTTGTGCGAACGTCGTCACCTTTAAACGCTTGAATATTTCATTGTTACGATATCTGAAGTACGCTCTGCTCTCCTCCAGTCTTTCCATGTATCTCGTCAGGCTTGACCCTGTGTCCAGCTTGGTTTTCACATGCTGATACTTGGGGTTCTTCCTTACTTTCTTCTCCATGAAGTTCACACTGTTGGTTTCCCTAATGTTCGACATGGTTCCAGACAAACTGTTTTAACACAACACATTCACGATTGTCTAATGATAAAAACAATTCTGTAATTTTCCTTTTCTTTTTAGCGTTTTCTTTTTTTTCTTTTCTCTCACTCTTTGACAGTAGTTGACATCTACAGTGTGCATTACTGCCTTCTTTACGCCGATGACACTGTTGCTTTCATCACAATCATCAAAGGCAATTAGGGGACGAAGATCACGTATTGAAAAAAAGCAGAAGATTTCAAGGTCTTCCTGTCCTTTAGGCAGATTTACTGAAATGATGAATGACATTATGATACTTTTGTACTACATAAATAATATTTGGCCAATAAGTTATAAAGCCAGCCATAAACTCATTATTGTGACTCTTTAACATTATTTCCACCCATTTTTGGGACAACCAAAAAACAAATATATGTAACGCATAAAGCTAAGCTACTGTTGGTAAAACAAGTGTAGAAATGACTGTAAAACAGCCAAGCACCATTAGCAGAAAAGGAGGCATAAAAACTGGGGATTAAAGGAGATACCGAACCAACAGATAATGCAAACTGCATATTGCCCAAATAAGACTTCAGTCCAAGAAGTTTTAGATTAGAACTTTGGTGTGGCAAAAAAATGGCTATATAAAATTTAGTGGCAAAAAAACGGCTATATAAAATTTATAAAAAAGCAATAATACATTTTTTTGTGTATTAGCACATAAGAACCACTTGGGACAGTGAAGTACAATCATCTTTTGTTTCGGAAGCCAAAAGGCTGCTCCATGTCTCGGGGATAACATTGGTCTTTCTCCACCCACTGAAGTTATTTATTCTGCAGGGAATGGGCTATCTCCACGCCAAAGGCATCATCCACAAAGATCTGAAGTCTAAGAACGTCTTCTGTGACACCAACAGAGTAGTCATCACTGATTTTGGCCTGTTTGGAATGTCCGGAGTGGTTCAAGAAGGCAGGTAAGAGTAAAGGAAGGGCAGGAAATACCCACAGTGTTTTTACTAACAAATGTGTCTTTAATCAGAGTGGTACGCATGTGTTTGTGTTTTAGAAGGAAGAATGTGTTACGGATACCACAGGGCTGGATCCAATACTTGGCTCCAGAGATAGTTCGGAAAATGAGTCCGGAGGTGGACGAGGATCAGCTGCCCTTTTCCAAAGCTGCTGATGTCTATGCGTTTGGGTAATTAATTAATGACCGTTAATTCTACTCAATAGTCAAATGTGGCAAAATGAGGTCACCCTTTCCTGTTACGTGTTCTGTTTCTCAGCACAATCTGGTACGAGCTCCAAGCCGGCGACTGGCCAATCACTAACCAACCCGTGGAAGCTAAAATCTGGCTCGTGGGCAGTAGTGAGGGCATGAAGAGTGTGCTGGCAGATGCCAACCTGGGCAAGGAGGTCACGGTGGGTCTTTTAAGATACTAGTTCACAGAAGAGGAACGAGCAGCCCTGATATTTACTGTGGCTGTGATTATACATTGTAGATACAGAATTGGGGCAAAATTGAAACAATGCTTTTGGTAGATGATTGCTGGCAAAATATTCTGCTAAAATGTTTTTCAAAATGGTAATTTGGAGATGATGTCAGAAGATACTCACAAGTCCAGCTGAAGACCACGGTTCACACCATCTTGTCTTTGGGTTTAACCCTTTCTCTTCCTCTCTAAAAGGAGATCCTGTCTTCCTGCTGGTCCCCAGAGGCAGACGACAGGCCCACCTTCACTCAGCTGACAGAAATGCTGGAGAAACTTCCAAAGCTGAA